AAGACGATGGAGGGATGGTTGTGCAGAAAGAAGGGAAGAGGAATGGCCCACCAAATACACTCAGCCAACAGCAGCTGGGTTCCCACACAGGCAAAACCACCAGGGGCCCAACTCCAGTCCCGCCTATCCTCAGTGACCGTGCAAACCCGCCCGGATGCTCGAATGCTCACAAAAGCCCCCCCCCGGCGCGTACCTGCTGTACTCCTGCTCGGCCAGGAGGAGGTCGGAGAGGCGCAGTTTGCTGCAGTGCTGGTGGGGCTTCATGCTCAGCTCCTTCACGGTGACGCGGCTCCCTCCCCACATCAGGCTGCAGGAAGAAAGGGGGTCAGTTGGCTCACCCAGCCACCTGCCGTGGCCGTGCTGGGAACGCATTCCAGGAGGGAGAGCAAGGCTAGCATTTAAGAAACCGGGTTAGGTGTGCATCTCATCTTTCCTCCAGGCCACAACGACAACCCTGCAAGGTAGGCTGGACTGTGACTGGAGGCTGGGTCTCCCTGGGGGCAGGCCGACCTGGCTGGGGAGGGTGCCAGGTCCTCAGCTGGCGTTAGCCCCAGGGCCTCCCTCTGAGCACAACTCTGCTTCGAAGGTAACGTGGCAACGCATTCACGACACTTACTTGGTCATGCTCATGTATGGCCCGCTGGAGAAAGAGAAGGTGGGCTCGTCGTCGGCCTGGACAACTTCTTTATCCGCTACGATGGGAAGGGAAGCCAGGTAACCCATTTGCCTCTTGCTGGTGAGAAAAAACTGGTGAGAAAAAACAGCACCCTGAACCCCCGAAGAGTTTCACATGCAGGAACGCGAAGACCTATAATCGTTTTAAGATACAAAAAGCGGAGTCTGAATTTTGGGGGGGTGCCCCTGAGTCAGTGTTGGCTCCTGGTGACGGCCTGGACAAGTCCCTGCAGTTTTCTTGGCAAGTTTTCAGAAGGGGTTTGCCCCGGCCTCCTTCCTGGGGCTGAGGGAGAGGGACTGGCCCACGGTCACCCAGCTGGCTTCATGCCCAAGGCGAGACTAGATCTCAGGTCTCCCAGTTCCTAGCCTGACACCTTAACCACTACCCCAAACTGACTCTCTATGCAAGTTTTAGTGCAAATGTTTTGACCGAAAATTCTCATAATCAAAAAACTGAATTTGCTATTCGCTGCACCCAACTGCCTCTCTTTGGGTCAGTCTTGGTTTTCGGAAGGGGTTTGCCCTTGTTTCCTACTTTCTGGGGCTGAGGGGGCGGGGACTGGCCCAAATCACCCAGTTGGCTTCGTGCCTAAGGCAGGATTAGAACTCATAGTTTCCCCGCTCCTCATCCAGCACCTTAATGGCTAGACCAAACTGTCTCTGTGTTAGGGGGGGAAAAAACTTTGACTATTAAAGGAAAAAACCCACCTCTAAGGCTTGAGAACAGTTTGACTAAAGGTGGCTGGATGCATTCAGATCGACTAACACTAATGCCTGGACAGCCATCTGTTGGGGTTGCTTTCATGTGGATTCCTACATGGAACAGAAGGCTGGATGGGATGCCACAAGAACCCTCCCAACTCCAGGATACACTTTGGCTAGCTTTCTCTACAGCAGTGTATCTCAACCTTGGCAACTTGAAGATGGGTGGACTTCAACTCCCAGAATTCCCCAGCTAGCCATGTCATTTGGCACAATCTAGGACGGTAAGTGTCCTCACCCCAGGGGACAGAGAAGAGGGTGTTACAGGATGATGTGCCAAGGGTAACAGAGCAGGGTCCCTTTGGGTAGACCTGGGTGGACAATGTGCCTCCTGCAAGTTGGGTTTGAACCCCATTTCAGCTCCTCAAAGCAGTGTTTCTCAACCTTGGCAACTTGAAGATGGGTGGACTTCAACTCCCAGAATTCCCCAGCCAGCTTCAATTCTGGGCGCTGAAGTCCACCCATCTTGAAGTTGCCGTGGTTGAAAAACACTGGTTTATACTGTCTAGGTATTTTGCAAAAATCTGTGTTTGGGGAAGGAGGGCTGTCCAAAAATTGCCTTGCTGTAAGACTTTACAGAAAAGCCCTGCCTGAAGGACTATCGTGTTTCCCGTGGCTAGCTACGGTTGCGCAAGGTGGACCATGATAAAACTAGACAGGAGGAAAAGCGACTCATTTGAGCTGCAGGGTTGGAGAAGGCTCCTGCGTGTTCCTGGGCCAGCAAAGGTGAACAACAGGCAAGTTCTGGAGCATCTAAAACCAGACAGATCGCCAGAAGGCAAAGTCCCAAAATTCTGCCGTACTTATTTCGGCCGTGTCCTGCGATCAAGCTCGCTGGAAAAGGCAGGTATGCTCGGACTGGTAAAAGGATAGGAGGCTGCCAAAAAACACGGTGGGTGGACACCATTAGAGCCCACACCAGTCAGCGCATAAAACAACGGAAAGAAGCCAACAGCTTCATCAGAATCAGAGAGTTGGGAGAGATTTTGGAGGTCACCACTGCAACATCTCTGACACGTGACCAGCCAGCCTCTGTTTGAAGACCTCCAACAAAGAATGCGCCATGTCACGTCACGGGGCAGCCCGTTCCACCAGCTAACAGCTCGTATTGACGGGAGGTTCTCCTTGACGTCTACCAGAACGCACTTCCTTGGAGTTTTACATCCAATATCTTGGGCAGTCTCCTCAGAGCTCCACATGGGATATCTGACCCTGTGTGTGTGTGTGCGCGCGAGAGAGAGAGAGAGAGAGAATACCCTGGATGAATGGAGCTCCCAGTATCTCCACAGTCTTGAAACTG